AGAAAATCGAAGGTAAAGTTTTTGCCCCTTGTTCAGTTTCTTTAAAAGACAAGGAGAGTTTTCTCTATAACCAAACAAATATACACACCATAGAAACCAAACTTCTCCTATAGGTAGGGCAACGCACACTTTTGGTGTAGGTCAAGATTTCTGGAAACTACCGAAATCTGGGTTAGCCCGCTTGTCCTTAAAAGCGACCATTTCACTCTTGAACACCTGAATTTCTGAGTTTACTAACAAACTGAATTTGTCTATTAACAATTTCACATTTACGACATTCTGTTTATTCAAAATTTCTAGATTATCTTGCTAAGGATAAGTGATTCAATACATTCTGTTATACTTAATCGCCAATTCTTCTTTCCCACCTTTTGGTGGACCTGATTGTCCGAGTCAAAGAGAACATTTTATGCCACTTAATTTCCTTTTAAATTTCATGTATGCCCTACCACAAAAGCTTTAATTTTAATAACGGTTCTTTACAAATCAAACATTTTTCTAGAAAAAATTAGTGTAAAACCATTCAATAAAAATACTGAAATTTATCCCCCCGAAATCAGCTTGAAACTTTTTATTACACTATACAGTTAAGTACAACAGCAAATGACACATTTATACAATATAGGACAGCGTGGTTCAAATAGATCAATGCACAAAAAAAATAAGCACAACATATCAGTATTTAAAGGACAAAAAAAAAATTGACGAAAATGTACTTCAATGTGTTATATTTCAGTACTGTTAGAGTAATTTTTTTAAAAAGACCTTCTCCTGGAGCATTTTCCAATCCATTGAAAACATAAAAATGCCTGTGATGGACTGGCGGGGCCAACTCAACCCACGCTAAGAAAAGTGCGCCATGAGATTCTGGGTCTGAGACAAATTTGTTCATTAACCCTATCCGTACATCGGGTTTTACTATCGTATCCATACGAATTGGGGAACTCTGTGCCACCACTTCCAAAGAGGAAATTTACTCGTTAATCCGATCCGTACGCTTTGCATAGCAGTCTGTCAAAATGATTTTTTGAGAAATACTGGAAGTTTCAAAGAGATCTTCATTCTTGAAGTATTCTAAAATGTGAAGAATACAACCCGAGGGTACAAAATGACCCCAGGGCGTATGGATAGGGTTAATTTCCTTCCTCATACTTATGCAGGAGAGATGCGTGCTTAAAACAAGTCTGCTGTAACCTAGGCTAGGCAAAAAACTGTCGCTAATATATGAGAGCCATGCACTTGTATCAGCTTTTTGTCTATATAAATATGTGTCACGACGTGGTGGAATCAGACGCTCGTCAATTTTAGGGCATGTGTAGTTATTGGTATCATCTTAAAGCCTATCCATTTACCTTGCTTTTGAAGAAAAAAATATCCATTAATCTTGGATACAATTCAAGATATTGGTGTTTGAAGGAAATGGGGGTTGCCGGGTTTCAGAGGTAAAATTAACGGGAAAATGGCTGCCAAAGTTGAGTTATTTCCTTAGCTTGAGAGTCTGTGGAAACTGAAAATTTATATCTTTTATGCCTGAAATCAATGTTTTTCAGTAAAATTCACACTGAAATGGGTTTTTTAATGGGTATGAAAGGTGTTCAGCCCCCCCCAAAATTGATAAAAATTCCCAAACCAGCAGAAAAATGCTAGTTTCTTGACTTTCATTATTTTGACGACCGCCTGATTTCACCACGCTACCTCATATATGTTGCATGAGTTATCAACACCTTGTGGACTAACGAAAGCCCACAAAAATCTAAAGGAGGAAGAAAACACCTTCAAATGTGTTAATGCTTTCGCCCATAATTCAGATTTAATGGAGACAAAGAGTTCGATAATTCCATGCGCTATTCCAGCTGATAAAGTTGGACAAAACATTTCCTCCTTGGTAGTTCTTTAAAAGGCAGACAAAACATTTCCTCCTTACTTGTTTTCCAAAGGTTAAACAAGTGCTATTTTTTACGTTGCATTCCACACAGCTGATAGGACTGATGAACATTGCCTAATGGAATAAACTACTATAAAAGTCAAGCCCACTTTGAAAAAACTTGCAAAAAACACAAAAGACCATCTCTGAATAACAGCCTTTTCTCTACACTTTTAGCATTTTTAGCTTTTTCGTGAACTGTAAAAATAAATCATGCTTTAACCAAGAACAAAACCATTGTCAGTTTTGGTATATTTCATGTTCTAGAACAGGAGACTCAAAGTCACATTACCTAGCGGCAGTTAGAGGCAGAGTTTTTTAGTTTAAGTAGAGGTTTTACGGCGTTCGCAACTGCATAAGGTCATATGAGTGCCAGAAGATTAGCAGTGTTACAAGAGAGTAACAAACATAAAAAAGAAGAAGGGGAGATAAGGACGACATGTTTGATAGGAAAGAAGAAGCAAATCACACCAGAGCACCCGCCAACCACCCACAAGGCAGAGTTTGGGTGAGCCTGGGAGGCATTAAGCATTCCACAAATAAAATGTTTAAAGTTGTTTTTAAAAAAATCTCCCATTCTTTATTAATAACTGTTGAGAGCATTAACATATCTTCGGATCACAGGTTTCTCCTACCTACTGCTTGCTGCGAGAGACCTGGCAGCTCGTCTTCTTCTTAATCCTATCTGTACGCCCTGGGGGTCATTTTGTACCCCCGGGGTAAATTCCTCACATTTTAGAATACTTTTAGTTCAAAGGTCTCTTTGAAACTTTCAGTATTTCTCCAAAAATCATTTTGACAGACTGTTATGCAAAGCGTACGGATCGGATTAACGTGTAATTTCCTCTTCGGAAAGTGGTGGCATAGAGTTCCCAATATTGTATGGATACGATAGTAAACCATGATGTACTGATAGGGTTAAAGAGCAATTATGTGTTTATGAGAAAAATGCCAGGCTGCACTAAGATTAATCTTTAACGTAAAGAAAGAGTTGCAAATATCGTCCAGCAGGCCAGGACCACAAGTTTGAGACCCCTGTTCTGGAATATGCAGAAATACAAAATCATTCTAACGGAAGGCGACATTCTGGTTGGCAATTTTCAACTACTCTAGCTTGAGTTGAGACAAAGTAACTTGGTCAATAATGCTGTCTATTACTCTGAGCAAAGTACTTAAGACAATGTGAAATAGAAACATTTCAACACGTAGACACTTCCACAACAATCAAGATCAGTTAATAACATTGAGTACCATGCAATAAGACAATATAAGAGGAAAAATAAAAAAATCTTGATTCAACGTCATAAGAATATTTTTAAGAATAAACCATTTGTTCACTGGAAAAGGTGAAATCATCACAAATAATTGTTGTCACAAATCTAAGTAGACTGTGGACTTCCCTTCAGGCTTGATGTTGAGAAAAACCTCTGTCCAAACCAGATCCCTGGCAGTTCAAGCAAGCCAAAAATATGTTGAAAGCGCTGTATTAAAATCATACCATCTCGACCCTGTATTTATAATTCTCTCTATCAATACATTGTAGTGCCAGAGTCATGCTATGACAAGGACTATAAAAACACATCACAGTAGTTAAGTTCAAGTTGATGTCCTTTACAAAAACCCAAACCTTAAGATAGTCCACAGATATTTGCAAAGGCTGAAAAATACAAAATCACTTAATAAAATGATTCAAGAGAATCGGAAACCCTGTATACCTGTATACACACGTTGACATATACAATTCTCATGGTACAGCTCCGACAAGAGAGCAAAACGCAGTTGTTCTTCACGCCTTGGGTATGGCACATACAGTAGAGAGTGAGTGAGTGACTGTCACAAGACAGGAAAAAATAAACTCTACTACTTGTTCCTACTGCAACATCATGGTTGTTTTAAAAAGTAAAACAAAAAAATTGCAATGCAACCACCACAGTTGCAGTTACTTGTAGTACATGAGATTCCTTCATGGTTTCAACAAACGGAACAAAGTTTCCAAAATAAAATCTTGGACACGCGTTGACTCATTCGTGATGGGCCACGTCTTTTGGCAAAACTAGACCAAAGTCATGACTACGTCTGCTGGCATAACTAGACCAAAATGAAGGGGTACATATTTAGACATAACTAGACCAAAATGAAGGGCTACGGCTTTTGGCGTAACTAGACCTAAGTGATGGGCTGTGTCAAAAGACATAATGTGAAATGATATCTGAAAATGACAGATAGCTCTGTATGTATAGCAAATAGGAAAACCCTGTAAAGCCCAGCTTTATTTCACATTTCTCCCTTTCAATTAAGCCCTTTCGTAAATTTCAATAAAATATTAATGGCTAAGTTTATGATGCTACCACTGATTCTCCTGATTAATGTAGCGACTCCAGCACTACCCTGTGTGGAAACAGTGGTTTAGAGTGAGTTGATGGTCCAACAAGAAAGAGACATCCTTGATGGAAACCGAGTGGAAAAAGAAAAAAGGACAGACCAAAAGCTGCTTGGGAGACTAACCTTCATCTTGAACTCGAGGTCAAATAAAAATTTAATAAGGGAGGGATGACAGGACTGGAAGTTGCAAGTGACTGACCTGAGCAAGGCTTAAAATGATTGTAAAATGTTTTACACCTCTGTTGACCAAATCTAGATCATTTAGGAGGAATGCTGCTCCGACCCTTCCAACCAGGGCCAACCCAGGTGAACTTGGGTAAAGCATCCCAGTAGAGACTTATTTGACATAATAACTATCGGTAACAACTTCACCACTTGGGAATCAAACTGACATCTTTTGTATGCAATGGCGAAGGGTCTAACTGTTACACCACAGACATGAGCAAGAACAGTGCTAATGGGAAAAAAAGAGAGTGTCAATATGTGCTTTTTAGAAGACACATCTTGGACTAGATAATAAGCATGAATTCTGTCTTAACGAGTGACTTTCTAATGAACAGTGAGAGACACGTCACATCTGAGCTATCTCATATTCTCTATATAGGACAAACAGATGTGCAGATATATAGCAAATAACACAACATGTACTGCATGAATATCTCAATGAAAATACAAATAAAAACAATTTTTTCTCCAAAACTTACACTTTAGTTTTAAAAAACCCACTCAGTTCTTCAACCTCTTAACCTGGCGCTTGAATTCCTTTGTGCGGACTATAAACAGCATATCACAATAAGTCGTAAATTCAGTGTTCAGAAGGGTAAGGGAAGCCTATTCAAGCCAACACTCATGTCTACAGAACTAAGGCAGTCACAATCAGGTGTACTCTTGGGTCCATAAATCTAAACTAGTCACACTCAAGGATATGCTCGAGTCTACAGAGTTAAGGTAGTCAACCTCAGAGGTATGCTGGCACCTATAGAGTTAAGTAATTACAATCAGGTGTACGCTCAGCTCTATAGAATTAAAGTAGTCACAATCGGGTGTACGCTAAGGTCCATATAGTTAAGGTAGTCACATTCAGATGTATACTGGATCCATACGGTAAAGGTAGCCACACTCAGGCATACACTAGGTGATCCACCAAGTGAGTCAAATAAAAATAAACCTGGAGCGACACTCATTGCTGGGGAGTTTCTCCTGCATGAGCTGCTCAAACACCTCCATGGCTCGCTGCGACTTGCGCACCAAGTTCCTGGATATAACCGACTCCGGGGTTTTGGCGGGGGCAGGTTTGGAGAGATTTGACATCTTCAGTTTGAAGCGAGACATAAGCCCAAAGTCCCGTGATTGAGAGGCTCCTGTCTGTGAAATGCCTGAAGCATCCGTGCCAGTGTTTGCGCTTAGCGTGGTGTCGCTGAGAGAGGTTTTCATGTGGGGATGGTGCAGCCTATGACACTTGTTGAGAATAGCTTGGACCTCCTCGTTCTCAATGACGCAGTACTCATCCTCCTCCTCCTCCTTTTTCACCATCTTGCTCTGTCTGCCATCTTCTTGAGCAACATGAACATCTGTGGTGAAATCTATCAAATCAGCTTCAGTCAGGCCTTTTACCTTTTCAACACCAACGCCATTTTCTGAATTAACTACTTTCTCTCCATTTATTTCCTGAGATTTGTCACATTCCCCAACGGTATGACGGTCTCCTGAAACAGGAGGTCTTTCTCCATCCAAATCGTCAAAAGTAAACATGGAATGGTCATCAACTTCTGTGTCCGGCTTATCACCTGAAGATGCTTGCCTGGCCAGTTGACCGTTGCTGTGATCCAGTGACCGCTGTCTGCCGTCTGCCGCATTCCAGTGTCGTGATGACTCAATCAGCTGTTTGGGACTCGTTGCTAAAATGCCACAACTGCCAAAAACCACTTCCTTGTTGACTTCGTCTTGCAGGCTAGAGATCTGCGGACCATCGCTGAAGCCCTGATTATAGAAACTGTCATCATCATCAACATCATTCTTATTGTCCCCCCCTCGGTTAGACCGAATGCGTCTTACTAAATTCAAATTCTGAAGATTCATCTTTAAATTGGGTTTGGGTATATTTGGCTTGGGTATCGAAAACCTTCCGGGATTAAAGTTGGCCTTGTTGAATGAGGGCAGAGCTGGCTTGGGTAAAGTGCTGAGAAAACCTAGGGGAGACTTTGACCGTGATGATGACCCCGAGTGGTCAGTGTTGAGACTCCGGCGCTCGGACATAGGAGAGCGAGAACTGCGGCCCAGGCCTGTCCCGTCAGCTATACTCAAATCCTTCTCATCTTTCTCGTTGATGGACGAGTCCATCTCTGAGGAGACGTCTCGTGGCAGCTTGATTCCAGCCAGCGAGTTCTCCTGTTGCTGCTGATGAATATTCACGATATCTGGATGGGGAAGCGCTTTTTTCCTGGGATGAAAGTTAAGTAAAAAAAATAAATGAATAATGAGAATTATCACAAATTCATTTTAACTTTAAAAAAAGGGTATAAGCAATGTATAGCCTCCCCTCCACTTTGAGCATGCTCCATCAGGGTGCAATATTCCATGTTACCGAGGGAGGGTCACAGTAGGGTTGCAGGTGTACTAATGTAGTTAAAACGACAGTCCGACTTGTTTACTAATAATTTATTATTGTATTATAACAAACATATATGGTCATAGAGATTAAAACTGATATTTAAAACAAGCACAAAAAAAGATTTCACCATGGGCAGGTTCAATTATACATCAATAATCCATAATGGAACTGACAGACTGGCTACCTGAGAAAAATCAATCCTTTTAGAGTAACTACTCCCTATTTTGAAGTAGAAAAAAAACAACAACTACAAACACAAAGACTAGCACTTAATTACTGCCACATACCTGTCCAGTTTTGTTTTTTCAACAACCTCTAAGTTTATAGACAGAATTTCTTGCGCTGATTTGAAAGCATCTGCAATCATACGGAGAGATTCTGGGGAAGAAAAATGTAGCAACAAACTAAAAAAAAATATTCATAAGTAGGCCTACTGAACAAATCTGTCAGTCAGTATAAATTTATGCATCAATAGGTTTAAATTTATCTTAAAAGTAAGGGCAAATTTGTTTTCCAGAGAGTACAATTCTGTCTTAAAGTCAGTGACCATCTGTTTTCTAGTTTCAGTGACTGAAGTTTCAACCTTGATTAAGCAAATGAAGAGTGTCATAAAGAACACCTTTGCATTGCAGTATTTCAATAAATGAAATATTAGCCAGAAAATTCGACTATGATGATCATATTTCCACTGGGAACCTGTGTACAAACTCACAAATAAAGGCGGAATTGTATCAATATTCGAACAAACTGTCTTTTACGGGTTACCTCTTATTAAGCTAAAAAAAACAAAAAAACTTTTGTCTCAAAAACAAAATACTGGACAGCTTACCATAAGTTTCAAAGACATGATGATGTAATCAAAATGGTTTACCTTTGGTCTTTAAAAAAAAAATATTACCAAACAGAACAAAGAATGGTCACCTTCGGCCTAAAAATGTTACCATACGAAATACAGATGGATTACCATAGATTTTTTAAACAGTAATTAAATGAAACGAAGAAAGTTTCCCCTGGTTTTTAAAACAAGGTAAGTCAACGAACTACAGGAATTTTACCTTTGGCCTCCTCCTGAGACACAACAGTGGTGACCTTGCAGTTGAACATGCGCAAGGTCGGGGTTCGGAACATGTGGAAGAGCCCCTCCTCGGCCTGGTAGTGGTAGAACAGACGCAGGCACGGGAACTTGGACTTGAACACTGCTGGCTCCATGCCTGCTCAAGGACATTGGTGGGGGATGAGTGGAATGGTGGTTAACATTGTAAATACGGCATTGATTTGTTTGTTTTAGTAAGAGTTTTACGGCACTTGCAACACAATAAGGTCATGTAAGTGCCGAAGATTAGAGGTGTTACAAGAGAGTAACAAAGACAAAAAAAGGAGGGGAGATAAGGACGATTGATGTTTGATAGGAAAGAAGGAGCAAACCATACCAGAGCACCCGCCAACCACCCACCAGCATTGATTGTGATGAATGTGATGATTGCAATAATTGGAATAACTGTGATGATTGTGATAACTGTAAAAAATGGAATGATTGTGATGAGGTGATGATTGCAATGATTGGAATGTTGTAACATTGTGATGAATGGAGTAAATGCAATGACTGTCATTATTGCAATGAATGGAATGATTGTGATGATTGTGATAAATGAAATGATTGCAATGAACGTGATAAATGAAATGATTGCAATGAATGTGATAAATGAAATGATTGCAATGAATGTGATAAATGGAATTATTGTGAAGAATGTGATAAATGGAATGATTGTGACGGTTGAGATAAAAGGAATGATTGAGATAAATGGAATGATAGCGATAAATAGAAAGATTGTGATGATTGTGTAAAGAGAATGATTGTGATGATTGTGATAAACGGAATGCTTGTGACGGTTGTAATAAATGGAATGATTGAGATAAATGGAATGATTGTGATAAATTGAAAGATTGTGATGATTGTGTAAAGAGAATGATTGTGATGATTGTAATGATTGTGATACATTGAATGATTGTGATGATTGCAATGAATGGCTTGATTGTAATAAGTATGATGATTGTAATGAATGGGAAAGATCATTACAATGATTGGAATGATTGCGATGATTGGAATGATTGCAATGATTGTAATACTAATGATGATAGTAATGAATGGGAAAGATCATTGCAATGAATTGAATGGCTGTAAGGACAGTAATGGTGGTAGTGCTTGTAGTGATGATAATGACCTGGGTGACTGTGATGACTAGAATTGTTGTCATGATTGAAACTGTAATGATTATAATGATCGTAAAGATCATAATGGTTGGAAATGATTGTCAAGATTGTAATGATGGTAAAGACTGGAGGAATGTAAATGACTGTCCAAGACGTCCACCTGTCTAAGACAACCACTTTTCTACTCAACAATTATTGGCTGCCTTGGACAATTTGGACAGCATAATCATCTTTTATTATTATTATTATTAGTAGTAGTAGTATCATTATCATTATTATTATTATTACTATTATAATTATTATTACATTCATGTGCTTCTCTCCACACCACCAAATCAAACTAAATGACAGTTGCCTTTATTCATTCACATACTTCTCTTCACAAAAACAGACCAGCACTAAATGACCATTTAGACAATGTCATTATAATATATAGAAAAAACACAAGGGAAGAAGTGGGAAGTAGTGGTATGTACAGGTGATTGTCTTGAACAGGTGGCCATTAGCGCAGGTTTAACTATAGTTCGTTAGTCAATGTCAAGGTCAACACGCGTCTCTTAATTCCCACATATATCGTACCAATCTCCACTTTGTCGATGTCCTCCAGGTAGATCCGCTGGTATTTGGTGACCTCCTCTTCCTCGTCGCTGTACCAAGCCACGTACACTGACCGCTGACTCAGCAGAAGGAGAATGTCCATGTCCTGGCGGTCACTGTCCCCTTCCCTGCAAGAACAAGGGTAAACAGAAGTCAAATGATGCTTTCATTTCATAAAAAAATTAATATAAGAGGCAATATTTTGTAATTGGTAGATAGTGGGACCTACTTTTCAGGAGGCAAAATAGAGTGGTTTATTTTGAAACACTAAAACATTCTGAGTCTGATCTGAGATAATTGATCTTTAAACTAGATTTGAGTGATAAAGCATTTTGCCATTATACAAAGAAGACATGACTTTGCTTCCCGGAGTGTGGCAGGAATGTAGCAAGTATCTGTCTGCTGGGATCTGCTGGGATGCTGTATCCCACCCAGCCCAGGTTGGCTATGACAGGCAGCGTGGAAATTGATCTTTTGATCCTAAATGATCTAATCTTGTGTCTATGGAGGTGTAAAACATTTGTGTAGCATCATGGTGAAATCAAGTTCTTGTCAAAATAATGAACTAGAAAATATCAAGATTGTTCTTTCCATGGGGAAATTTTTATCAAAATTTATGTGTTGTGCACACATCTTTCAATTCAATTTTAAAACATATTTTAAACAATAAGAAGTCTGCTTCCAGAATAGCCTTAAAATTTCAAAAGGCATGTAAAACACATACAAAGTACACCTACACCTAACACAACATCATCATTGACATATACCCATGCTTTGGCATCATGATGAGGGTCCTCAAAAAAAATCTTCTTCCACCCAATCAGGGTAATGGCACGATAAAGGGAAGCATTCTACATAAGAAATAACCTAAAATATGTCAATATAAGTGTAAACATATGTGTGGCATTGTGGTAAAATCAGGTGCTCGTCAAATATTACTGTCGGAGAAACTGAAAGTTTTCCACAGCTTGGCCAATTTTTATCAAATATTTGTTTGGGGCTCGACACCTTTTATGTAAATTTAAAAACATATTTCGGTTTTGATTTTCCAGAGAAATATTGATCAAAGAGGCAAAAATATGAACTTACAGCTTCTACGGACACTACAGCTTTGAAAGTCATCAAACTTTGGCCGCCATTTCTCTAGCAAATTTTACCACAGGCACCAGACGACCCCTAATTCCTTCAATCACAAAATCATATGAGTGTTCTGAAGTGGACATAAAAGGTGCTGAGCCCCCCCCCCCCCCCCCCACCACCACCGAAATTTAAAAAAAAATAATTGCAGAACGAGTGGAAAAATGTAAGTTTCTTCAACATCATTATTTTGACGATCGCCTGATTTCACCGTGACGCTATACAGTCCACGCCGGCTTTAAGAATGGTCATCGGGAGAAAGCATAAGCGTGCTTAATGCTTAAGTGTGCTTGAGTGCGAAGTAGACATAATCCAGAGATTTTCATGTAGAAAATTTCCTTCGCTATTTCCCTTTGTTTGTAAGTAGGCCTATAGTGGTCCCGCCAAAGTGTGCACTGTTATTTTTACCCGCCACGGTAGTTTTCATTTGTTTGTTTGTTTGTTTTGTTTTGTGGTCGAATGGGAAATGAAAACTTAATTTAGACTGCTAGTCACGATACAGCACACAAAGCGTGCCCAAAGCCGAAGTTACCGTGCTTAAAGGCGTGTAATTTATACAGCAAAATTTCGGTAAGAGCCAGTTAGTGTGCTTGAGTCTGAAACGTGCTTTATGCCGGCGTGCTTAAAGCCGGCACGGACTGTATATATATATAGTATACTCACACAGCATCAGCGTTGATGAGCGCCCATCCCCCCAGACAGTGCTCCGGCTCAACAATGAGCATTCTCGTACAATCCTCGATCATCATTTTCATGTTTTCCTCTTTCTCTGCCATCTCGTTGCCGTCCACATCATCAGTCTCGGCAGACGGGACCAGGAGAGCCTCCGACACTGGCTGACCAAGACTCAGGTCAATGGCCGCTTGTCTGTGGGCGTCTCGGAACCTCAGGTAGTACCTGCAGGTGATCAGTCAACAATAATTCTTATACTCATATATATATATTTTTGTACATATATATATATACAATATAGACTAGTTCACTTGTTTTAGGGTGGAGCTTGAATTTGAGTAAAGACATGAAAGAGATGTACAGCAGCACAATGACGGTCATAATATATACGTGGTGTTGTGTGGTGTGGTGCGGTGTGTTGTGGTGTGGTGTGGTGTGGTGTGGTGTGGTGTGGTGTGGTGTGGTGTGGTGTGGTTTGTTGTGGTGCGGTGTGGTGTGGTGTTGTGTGGTGTGGTGTGATGCGGTGTGGTGTGTTGTGGTGTCGTGTGGTGTGGCGTGGCGTGAAGTGGCGTGGTATGGTGTGTTGTGGTTTAGATGATGCAACTGTGTATGGTTTTGGGGATGGTGTAACATGGTGTGGTGTGGAGTGATGTCGTGTTGTGTAGTGTGCTGTGCTGTGGTGCGGTGTGGTGTGATATAGTACAGTACTGTATGATATGCTATAAAACAGTAAGAGGTTTAATGCGCCTTTCAGCACTGTTACGTTATTTATTAAGAAGTGGGACCTAAGATCAAACGTCCACCTTCAATAGAACCGAACCAAGTGAGAAGAGAGCTGTGAAAAGCTCTTAAACAACACAAGCTAAAAAAAACGGCCCTATGAAAAATTCAAACCAGGATGATCTTCATTGCAGGCCAGCATGGCACGAACTGTGTCCTAAATGTCCTCCCTATGTCATATGATACTAACTGTGTCCTAAATGTCCTCTCTATGTTATATGATACTAACTAGGTCCTAAAGGTCCTTTCTAAGTTATATGACACTGAGTCCTAAATGTCCTCTCTATGTTACATGACAGAACCTGCATCCCAACACATCTTCGCTATGTTGCATTGCAACTCTAGCGGGGCACAGCGAGTCATATTGAAAGTTACAATTAAACACAATCTCAGAATTAGACATTTAATCCATCATGTCTTTTCTCTCATGTCGAAAAACATGACCTCAGAATTACCAGCACCGAAGGCCCTATATCATCAATACCCCTCCCCACTCCCAACCCCTTGCCCCTTGTCCCAACCTCTGACTGAAACGTAAGGTTTAAGGGGTTGGGGTATGCCAGCAACTGAAAGTGTTGTAGACCAAGCAAGATTCACATAAAAAACTCTCATCAAATAAAAACAGAAAAGGCCAATGGACAAGCCACAGGAGACGGTGAGGCCTCCCAGTGAGAAGGCACATGAAAAGTTAGAATTAAAATCAAGTAAATTGTCATATCAGGAAATCCCTCTTCAGACAAATGAACTCTTTATACGAGTATCGAAGTGCACACAGTCATGGGCAAAACTGTACAAACTAAAGGCACACTGTCTAGCTAAGAAGGTAGGCCAACGTACAGAAGGGCAATATAATTTGTCATTTAAAAATTATTATCAAGTAGGGGATCAAAACTTGCACCAACAGGAAAGAATTGTTAGAGTTTAAATTAAAGGGTGACATTTCTTACAACAAAGCGAGTTCTCATAGTCACACTTCATGGATCCTGATAAGGAACGACAAAAACCCAACTAAGAGATCATTGCAGAGCAGATGTTTCCCCTACCAAACCAATTTACCTGTTGGCTGAGTTAACACCATCCTTCATAAGGCCTGAGAATTTCCTTTCGCCTGTCCGAGTGAAGTCACCCTGAAAAAGAAATTGGAAGGAGAATGAGGGTTGTAAATAATAACATTCTTATTTTTACACTACACTACTATACATTACATTACATTACACTACACTACACTACACTACATTACACTACATTACATTACATTACATTACATTACATGACATAACACTACATTACATTACATTACATTACATTACATTACACTACATTAGATTACATTACATTACATTACATTACACCACATTACATCACATCACATTACATTACACTACACTACACTACATTAAAATACATTACATTACACTACATTACTATTACATTACATTACACTACATTACATTACATTACACTACATTACTATAACATTACATTACACTACATTACACTACATTATACAACATTACACTACATTACATTACACAACATTACACTACATTACATTACATTACATTACACTACATTACTATTACATTACATCACACTACATTACACTACATTATATTACACTTCATTACATTACACTTCATTACATCACATAAGAACCAAGTAAGTACCTTCAGTGCAGCTGTGCCGGCGTACTGCCGACTGATGACGTCACCATTGTTGGCCCAGATCTGTCGGTAGGTCAGTCTGCAGCTAGGGGGGAGGGACTCCTCCGGAGGGAGAAGACCTAGCTTACGGAACTGTGTGGGTGTGGAGGGAGGGTGTGGGTGGAAGGCGGGGGAATGCGGGTGGAAGAGGGGG